GGATACAGGCACTGTTGGGCGTGCATTGCCAGCCCCGCTCTCCCCCACGGAAGAAGCAGCATTATGGGACAGGAGCAACTGAACCAGCAGTGTGACAGCCCATCTGAGCCTCATCTGTGGACTTGACCCACATAGACTTCCCATCCCGCTGCTCCTGTTAGTTTCTGGAATCGTGCTATTCACGGTTGGGGCAGTGGTTTGAACAGGGCCAATTGCTCATACCCACACAAGGACCACTGAAACTTTGAGGAGCTACTGGAGTTTATACCAGGAGCTTTCGTTCGTATCTTCGGATAGCGAGGAATCCTGCTGCGTGGACCCTACAGACGCTATCCAATCCGCAATTTCTAACCTCCTTCGTCATTCCTAACTTAGGCGTATTGAAGAGGAGGGTGTTGAAGGCTGAGCACTACCCTCCCTACGACGCTTCTTGTTATCAGTTGATTCACACACCGAACATGAGTCGCAGGACGTTTCTTACGTTGTACTTTCCATTCAAGAGTTGTGTATGTTACAGTTCCGCGCATTTCATCCGTCCTGTCGAGTGCTATGGGCCGAGAAATCGATATTCCCTGTTGCCAGCTGCACGTCCCCGGGAAGGTATGCAAGCTTGAAGAAACCGGAAATTCCTGTATGCGGCCTGAAGAATTTAGTATTCATTACAGAGATATCGGCTATCACTAGCTTTACTTTAGTGCAGGTACATGCAGCAGCGGGGCTCCAGGTGACCCCGCGTGACTACGCATGCTCCAGCCGAAAGTTTGTCCTCAGGAAAGTCACTCTCCAGTTCCCCCTCGAAAGAAAATTTCGCAGACAAGTATTTTATAAGGTTCTACGCTCAATGTACGTCCCAAACCGCGTTGTTGGGGCCCGCTACTTGCGATAGCCACCCCTCGCACAGCAAGGTTCGCTGCGGTATCGCAGAAACAGAAGGAAATTTTGCTGCGCGCCAGTAATTCCTCGCCTTTGCGCCCAACGTGGAAACAAATGAACATGTCGTGAATTCCTGTACTGGTTCTATCATTCCTCAAGAGCTGATCGGCCGGAGCGCTGCAGGCAGCCGTGTTTGTATGCGTACTTCCAGCGCATGGTTGAACAGCAATAAACAGTCGTCCTTGATTGTTAGGGACCTGAGCTAGGGTACCTAAAAAAGTCGTTTGTGGCATGTATATTGGCGGGCCTACTCGCCAGATGCTGCCGTTGTTGGGCGGTAAATAGTTCATGCCAGTAGCAATTGACGAGGGTGAAGCATTTTTTTAACCGAGCGGCAGTCTCGGCTACCTTAGCACGGGGAGAGGATTTTCTTTTCGCCATCCTCTCAAAAAGCATGGATGCCTGCACGAACGCCACCATACCCTCCTTGCGTTCTGCCAGCTTCTGGGCCATCTCCACCGTCGCAGGGACGAATCGCCCAAGCTTCCCCGCCGGTATCCCCAGTGCAATAAAATTCCTTCGCCTGTAGCCTGTGTCTGACTGAATCCACTGTGAAATCTCGCATGTGGAAGGTCCTATGCTGAATGCAGCTCGCCCGGGCGCGGCACGGTGCCCGGGCGAGCTGCAGCACTAGTGGCCTACGAGTAGGCAGAAAGTCCCCTATGCCAGGAGTGACGGGGCAAATGCGAAGTAAATCCACGTTCAATCCGTTTTCCAGTTCATTGCTGCGATCTCCGAAGGACTCCACAGGACGACTTGACACTTAGTTGTGTTGTGCAATCGCAAAGCACCTGCCCGACTCCCTACGAAGTCAGCTGCTGCGAAGGGCAGCTTTGTGTGTTTATCTCCGCCTCAGGTAAATTGAGAAAGGTCAGGGGGTTGCAGGTTGTAGATGTGCAGGAGGAGGGAATTGGTGCTTGTGGCGGTTTGCCGTGAAGTATGTGAAATCAATTGCCAGTCGCTGCTCGCCTAGGTGGTTAGGCGCTTAATGGGACAAGGGCAAATATGGTTTTGCAACTGATGTTTGTGTGGCTTGGCTAAGTTCTTCCACAAGGCAAACTCACGTAGACGCGTCCGGGAGGATGCTGCATACTGCAAATGCTGGAGAGCATAAATTGATAACTGGGGGGGCTATTTATTCGCGAAACAAAGTGGATATGTTTTAAAAACATTGCACACATCGCGGTTGGTTTTAGAACAGTTTTGCGGTTGGGCAAAAATTTTGCATATGGCAGGTATATCAAGGCGCGTAAGATCCCTCGGATCTCTAGTATGCCAACTAGGTTTCCTGAACTAAGCCTGGTAGAACTCATGCTTTTTCACAGTTAGCATGCGGCCTCATGAGACAGAACTATTGCATTCAAAACTTCTTGTATTATTAAGGAATGTACAAGGGCCTTCTCGAGCAAAGCTGTTGTTGACAGGCAGGCAAGTAGCTCTAACTGCTCGTGCTCGTCAAAACAAGCATAAAATTGCAGTATTGCGTTCTTTCACTCAACATTTGTACAACGCACTATGTCCCTCTTTTAAACCCAGGTGCGTTGCCAAATTATGCTTATGGGGATGTTTTCTAGTGAAAAGCCGCCGCCTCGTTGGATATCAGAACAGGTCGAGCAGTGTAACTCCCCTAATCGGCGAGTTCCCGTTGCAGGAGCTCCACTTCTTGCTGCAATGATTCCAGCTTGCTCTTCAATGCAGCATTCTCCCTTGTCAAATTTTGCACCTCCGACCGGAGTGCATCCACCTCGACACCTATGGGCGCACACCACGTAACACGAAGAGTTACCCATGCATTATGTTACCGGAGGCTGATGTCGACCAATTCACAACGCGAGGTCGTTACATGCCAACTACCTGTCGGCGCTCCCAGGTGCCTTTTGATGTAGTCAAGGGCGTTAAGCGGCCGCTCAGGAGTCTCATAGAGCCCAACAAGGACGCGTGTCAGTTGACGAATGACTCCATGATCCTCTAAATATTTCCTGAAGGCCGCTTTGCCCCCATCTGTCTGATCTGTTTTAGCATTCATCCTCGACCCCCCGTATTAACTCCGTATCCCCAATTTGCTGCCTTCAGTGCCTGCAAATCAGCCAGAATGTAGTGGCGTAAGGAATCCTACGATGGGTGGACAAATTCTATGCTCGCACCTACATGAACTGAGGAAATAGACGGAAAAGTCAATGAAAATTCCAACTCATCAAACCAGCTTTGGCTCGTACATGGAAGCTCGGAGAAAGGGCACCAACGTTACATCTCTTCATGCACATAGAAAAGTTGATGTATGTGTGTAGTGTTCAAAGCTGCCCCTGATCCCATGCTTCCGCAGAGTCGGGTCCACTGGGTCACACCAAATGCCATTCCAGATAGGCGACGAAGTGCAGCGCATGCAGTGAATCAAAACCGGTATGATATTCGTAGCCCAGACGCCACGGAGGTGTTCCCCTAGCTACACAGAGATGGAGCAAACTGAGCAACAGTGTCTAACGCCTTGAAAGAGAAAATCCAGGGTATTGGGTTGGTACCACTGTGTATATACCCTCCCCCCTTCATTCGCCTATGCTTATCTATCCACAGTACACGCATAACTTCTAACCCTCAGCGCTAGAGAAATACCGCAGGGGGCAGGGCAGCAAGCAGTGCTCTCACGAGAACACTACCCGTCAAGTGGTTTGGGAAAGAAATGTTGCAAAACATTCCTGACAGGCCTAGGCGCGAGCCTGCATTAAAAAACGCCATGAGTTACTAAGTGTGGCAAGCTCGGGCATGAGCTCCCCTGTTGGCCTGAAAGCTGGATGCTAATCCGTCCCCACTGTCTCCGGTGACCCCGTTGCCATGTGTGATGCCGGCATTCCCTGTGATTATATAATAATTAGAGGGTGTATCCGTAAATTTCCTTGCGTAACAAAGAAGCGAATTGCTGCGCCTGTGCAAAACAGTCTGTAGTCCTGACGAATTCCTACCGGGGACGTCCGACTAGAAAGATCAGCACGAACTTAGTGGGGCGCAGCATTACTTGCCTGGTTTCAAAAGTGAACTTTCCCAAACTATTAGCATATGCGCGGAACATGTTCGGATGCAAGAAAAAGGGAGCACACGTCATTTTCTACAGCATCTTTGAACGGTCCGGGTGAGCCGATGCATGTCCGGGCAGCCCCGGTATGCAGGCGTGCCCGAGCATTGTCTGGGCTTCCGTGCCTAGAACGCGGCTTGCATGTTGGGCCTTGTATGGGACTGACTGAATAACTGCATTTTTAATTGTATAGTTGAGTGATGCTGCGTAGGCTAACTCTCCGCTTTGCTCGTAGTGGTCACCTGGCGACCACGACGACAACAAGCAACTATCAGACAGAGGCTGGAAACATTATTTACGGGGTCCATCAGTGGAACATTTCATCTAGCTTAGCAGCTGGCAGACGCCTGCATGGTAACAAGAGCAATTGCTCCCGAAGGTCTCAGCAGTCTGCCGTTGTTCCCGCGTGCAACATGGCTTGGTTGCACCCTTACTCTGCTCTACCTCATCAGCTGTGAGGTATGGCTTCGAACTGGAACCACCAGCTCACGCCTTTCCTAAATTCATGCATAGGTGCTGCATGCTGCCTCTACCGCTTTTAGATGCTTCCTCTGTGGTGCTGTAGCGCTGCTGCATTGTTGGTCGTAGTATCTGTGACCTTCCATCAAGTTGACTTAAGTTGCCTCCAGTGACGTACCGGCAACTCTGCGTCGAAAGTGTTGCCACGCGTATGTTTGGCGGCACTTCTCTGAACACAAGTTCATCATGCTTATGCATATCTCCCAAAATTTACATTTACGGCTGTTATACGCTTTGGGTTCACCTCTTCAGAAGAAGGGGGCTTGCCAAGCATTCGCAAAAGGGTGTTCTGAAAGAGCGAAAAAGGGACCTGCCTGTCTTCGGGATCGCAGCAAAAAATAATGAGTAAATTAGTGTTAGAGGAAGCGATGAAGGCACGTAGAATTTCCTTCTCACCGCGTCAGCATTCCCCCAAGTAAAGTTTAATTGGGTACCCGCCCGCTGGTAGCAGAAAAGTTACTCCACTTTGGTGCAACGTCGGATGTGTCTGCTTGTGAAGGACAACTCCGGCGAACTCAAATATGTCTCGGAAGGACCGCAAAGCGCTCCTGAAAGTGGGGTAGCAAATCCGGTTCATAACGAAGTAGTAAACCTCAGAGGAGATGCAGTAGTTCCTCCGGCTGAAGGGCACGGCACGACAGCGCCAGCCTCCCAGGACCTTTCCCCCTGTCTAACTTCAAATGCGGCTGGAAGTCCCCCTGCTCACCAGGAAAATGCCTCTCTTGTGATAGATTCTTCCAGCGAGTCCAAAAAACGGAGCGCCAACCCCAACCAAATCCGGAAGACTTTGAACATGACAGAGAGACGTGGGGGCACGCGAGCTCTCGTAGAGAAGACAAGGGAGGCATTTCTGCTGCAGATGGCGATTGATACTCGGAAGGCAGGTTAGTCTTGAGTAAAGGAGGTGCCGGTAAATTGAGTATTCTGGGCGTACAGAAGGTCGCACGAACAGGCTAAAGCGTTCTCACTTTGGCTCCCAGTTTTGCATCCATCTGAGGAGGCCGCATGTGCTCAAAGTGCGTTGAAACAGAAATACTGAAGCTGCACGACCGAGCAGCCGAAAAGTCAGAGGCCGTACGCAAAGCAGAAACCATGCTTACGAGGGATGCGCAGAAGTTTGACGAGTTCCTTCGAAGCAGTGATGCGGCTGCACACGAAGCCATTCGCGTGAGGTAGTGCATCTGCTTGCCGGACGGGCAATAGCTGCAGCGCACGCGCCTTGATCCGAAATAAATGCAGCAAGCGTACTCCTTAAGAGGAAACGCTTGCATGAGAATATAGGCGCAGGCTGCTTGTTTTAACTCACCACTACCTTCCTATGCATATGCAAATCAATGCATCGAAGTGCCCGGCTGCCCAAACTACTCCTTTTTGATGTATTAATTGGAACTGTTGTGCACACGTCTACTTCGTAAATGCGCAGAAAGCCGATGAGGCGGCGCGGGTTTCTCAAGAGAAAGCAACAGCTGTTCGGCAGCTCCGTCAGAAGCTTGACGCCACGAAGGCTCGAGCGGCATCTAATCGAGAAAAAGTTCAGGAGTACTCGAGATACAGAGCCTTCCTAACGCATATCACTCCCCAGGTACGTTTAGGGCAAGCGGTTTCCGTCCCACAGGTAGATACCTCCGTTGCTCTCCGTAGACGTAGGAGGTGAATTTCGACAACCAGCTAAGCCAAATTCAGCCAGGAGGCTCACATGGTCTATGCCGCGAGTCTCTGATCCTGAATCAATGTAGGACTGGCTCAAAGACCAAGAAGAGCTCTCCAAGGAGCGTGTACATCAGCAAAAGCAGCAATGGGTGCAGAGTCAACTACAGCAGCAGCAGCTGCAGTATGCCGCAGACCTAGAGGCCATTGATGAGGATCTCCGGGAAAAGCTTCAGGAATTGGAAAAGAAGAAATCACGTGGACTTAAAGCAAGTGCGACAGATGGATGTCTTCGCCTGCACAGCTACTGGGGGGAAAATGAACTGATCTTTACTAGCCCGAGGCACAACACGAGAACTTATTAGTGCCTTCGCCACCTGCAGGTGCTGGACCGCGAAAAGAATTAGAGGAAAGGGCCGAAAAGAAAAAACGGCAGTTGAGCAGAAAGCTCAAAACTGCAACAGAGTTCGAGAATCTGTTTGATGGTAAGCGAATCGTTGCGCTGAACGGGTAGTCGACTGAATTACCCACATATTTGTTAAACTAAACGGGCATATCCCAGTGTTTCGTGTTCGTGATGTTCCCCGTTGTGAACAGCGGAAAACATGGCATTATCTGCCCTTGACCTATACTTTAAAGATCCACAGGAGCCTCTTCGTCTCTTCAAAGAACTGGAGGAGGAAAACCTATTCTTGATCCAAAATGCACATGAAACTGTCACTGTGGGGCCGTCCCAGAGGCAGAAACGAAGTCCTTATCTAATGTTCTGCAAACGCTACAACAGACATATTCGTTGTTCCCATGGAAGGCGATGCCACAGCATGACCCAATATTCTCGAAATATTGGCAAGAAGTTCCTGTGGCTGCTTGATCACTTTTATATGTAGCTGCTTTAGGTTTCTTGCGCAGCATGGATGAATACGCAGGAGTTGGAAGCTATGGAAAAACGATTTGCCGACACTCGTGCTGAAATGGGGGCCCGACTGGAAGGCCTTGAAGCTGTTATTGCACAGCTGCAGCAACAGCTTCAACAGCAACGTGCCAAATGCACGCAGCATCGAGGTACGTAGCTTTAACCATGCACCGATGCTTGTGATCTCCCTTAGTTGCTTGCCCACTTCTTGAAGTAGAGCCGCTATTGAGGAAAGACTTGTTAACGCAATTCGTGCAACAGAACGTGCACCCCCTGGGGCCTGCACGGCCATTTGCATTGCAGCCTTGTCGCTTTTGTCGCTTGCGCTACAGAAGAACTGGCTTCCCAGGAACAAGAGTCTGACGCGTCTGCGGCCCTCCAAAAGTTGACGGTCCATGTGTCGGCAATACATGCAGCTTGCGGCTTTGAAAGTAAGTGGCTTTCTGTTCCCATGACGGCTTCGTCAACTTGCAGTGGATGGTCCTGCTGGCCCAACATGGGTTTGCAATGCTGATCTCCAGCACTTTACTTCCGCCGCTGTTCGCTTTCCAAACGTTTAGAAGGTTATGCAGGCATGCTGTGCTATGCGGACAGAAGAGGCGTCGGCTGACTGCCTACGCATGTTGGAGCAGATTGAAGCCCGACTTGACTCCCACCTTGCAACTCTTGCCAAGCACGAAGGCAAGAACCCAGTTTCTCCATCCAACAAATGCTGCCAGTGAATGCGTCCACGTAGCTTCTAAAAAAGGTGGCTTTCTAAGGAACATTTCCGGCACTGTGACTGTTTGGCACTCGCTGTAAAGGAGTGCGTTCACTCTACCTAGTGTAGTTGTACTTGGTGCACAGCGGAAAGCCCGGACCTGGTGCATCAATTGGAAAAAGCTAAAGAGAAGCAACGGCGCGAACGAGCGCGCCAAGAAAAGCTGAACCAGCAGCACCTGAAAAATGACGAAAGATTGCAGGCAAGCAAAACTTTAGCACGGGCAGCCACCTGGAGAGCTTGCAGTAGCGAATGAATATTTGCTAGTTTATAACGGTGAGATGTGACTGGGATGAACCGCAGCTGTCACTTCGTCAGTCCAGCGAAACTGCATCCAGGCGGCCCCGGCGGCCGGTTATGTTCCGCTCCAAGCCATTCCATAAGCAAGAAGAGGTTTGCCACCGGAACCCAAGTCCTCCCCTACATGCAGCCGCTTTCACTAGTACTTCATAGTTTGCGCACTTTCCCTATTGTGTAGAAAATCCCAAGTCTTCACTACTCACCCAATCGATGGGCTGTGCTTTTTTTCATTCTCACATGTACGCATTTTGACAGGCGAGCAGGAAGGAGACTGGGGAGTCTGAGGCAGCGCTTGATTACGAGCTTTACTTCCAGTAATATAGTAGTCACCGTGTACTTTTGACATAGTTTTGTGTGGCCTGCATTTTTTCCGGACCGCCACACTGAGGCGATCAGCATCCGGGCAGTTCCTTCTGCCGTTTGATTCATGCATGCTGTGCCGCTTTTTAGTGATGCGGTCAACGTGGGTGCGAAGAATAACCTACTGCGTAAAGGCGAAGAATAACCTATTGCGTAAAGGCGTCGATGCTCAACTCGTATCCTACCCTTCAAAGCAGATATGCATGTATTCATGAATTGTTGCGCCGAATCGGATGATGCCCCATACACAATACAGTAGGGCTGGAGTAGAAGAAAAAGCAGCTCCAGGAAAATGATTAGGTGCGTATACATTATTTTGTGTATAATTGCTGTCGTTGTAGATCCTAACTAAGCCATTCGAGACCAATTACTTCGGCGCTCTCGTGAAACATGCAGTATGAAACGCTTGGGAATAGGATGCGTGTCCTTGTTCTTATTTGCTACCATGCAACAGGGACTTCATCTATTGGATACGCGCAAACTGCAGAGAGCGAGGCAGTGGCCTTGCTATAGACGTGTTTCACCTTGTAGCCCGTACAGCTCGTCAACTGCATACGCGTGTCACGTGCTTGGTTGTTTTTCGCACGCCATCCAAGAGAACAATGCCTCCGGGGCATCCGTGGGCGTTGTGTGAACGTGGTCTTTCGATCTCGAGAGGGGCAAGCATGCCATATTTGCGTTGTGAACAGCCCCTCAATTTGGGATAGTTGAGTTCATCTTTGGAGAGTGCTCGACTACAACACCGTAGGCGTTATGCTATTATGCTTGTGTATGTACCCCAAACGCTCCCAAGAAGCTCTTCATACGGGCATGATTCGTTCTCAAGTACCGCGTGCAGCAGGCCGTGCTTGTGCTAGTCACGGACATCAGTCTTCTACACCATGGCAATGCAACGGAATTCGTAGTTCACGCGAACTTGCCTGTACAAAAACATTGCGAAGCCGGAGCATCCAGAATCACTCCCAATGCAGTGTTCTGCAACCCGATAAAGAGATATACACTTTTCTTGAGTATAGCTACAGTCGTGTGTCTCGTCTTGATGAGCGTCGTGCAGATACAATAAATAAACCACTGTGCAGGAACTCGAACAGTGTAGGCGATTGGCTTTATCGCGTAGATAGCTCACGCCACCAGGCATCGCCTTTGGTCCACATATCTTTAGGCTCATGCGCCAATGCGGAAAGAATTGCATATTCGAATTGCCTTCCGTACCTCCACCGACACTCAGTAATGCGGTTTGATACTATGGAGCCTCTGCGTGAAGAGAACCCGAAGGATGCAGCTACCCGCGGCAGATCCACTGTTCGCTTAGCCTGCACTGTTCCAGCTTTTTTTAACTCCTTAACGTGCAAGCACACAGATGTCGAGAGCTTTTTTCGGCAAAGCTGAAGAAGTAGCAGCATATGGCTCAATTAATTGGAAGAAAGGTGTCAGCACAATTAAGAGGAGCGCCCTGTGTCGGGTTGTGCACAAGCCGTCCAACGCCCCCATTGATTGCATGGGTCAAAACAGGTTGTCCGACTGGAAATTCCACTCTCGCCTTCCCCGTCAAACGAACTGGTGCAGTCAATGGGCTTGTGGCTGCCACTCCTATTCCTGCTGGGGGAAGTCTCCCTGCGACTGATGGTAACTGAAGTTGTGAGGTGGCATTTAACACCGGAGACAGCTGTACCTTTTCCACGGGTAAGGTTACGGCTGGAGCTGGTGGGCAGGCTAGTGCCACAGCTGGCGTAAGTTGTGCAGCACGAGCCGTATGTGCCAGAGTAGTTGGCTGAATTGTCGGAAATATGAACCGAGGCGCTGGCTCGCTTAAGACGTGGCCGGTAGAATCCATAGGTCGGTGCGGTGGAAGCCCTTCATGCCCTATGGATGGTGCAAGAGCGTATGCTCCTCCACACGGCCCGCAGTGGTCGTCAGCGGCACGCCACCAGGGGTGTTCGTTCATCGTCACACAGTCTGGGGGTGAAATAAAGGTAACCAGTGGGGGAGGCCTCCTCCCACGCCTCCGACCAGAACGCATACGGCGAGGCAGTGTTTTCAGCTTTGCATGGGCAACCCGTAAGTCCTCTGCAGCCTCGTCAAGCGTCCATTCGGCCATCCCCATTGTAACTTTGTCTCGGGGCTGCAAGAAATGGCAGTTGACCTGAAGGGGAACATTCGGAGACGCCGTCGCCAGAGGCATTCTTCAAAGATGTCCAAGTTCAAGACAATTTCAACGCAGGTGGCAGCGCAAAGCAGCGCGACTCTACGGCATCTTCGCTCTCCTCAAATGAACACAAACGTAATTGGAATACAAGAGGTACGTGCAGCTCATGAAGTGCTCAAATACAATATATTCGCTCTCCCTGCTCAAACTAGCACATATATAATCGGAATTCAAAAGTTCAGTGCAGCTCATATCTTGCTCTACCCTAGTGCCACATTACACGGGCTCCCCCAGTCTGCGTTTTCGCTTTGCTGCAGTCTTGGGTACTCAGCAGATCACAGGCCAAGCAAATCATATGGCAAAGACATTCCAATGAGCTTGCATCTCTTGTTTCACTGTAAACTGGATTGGGTTTTTTCTGCTTACTTGATGCAGTTTTCGCTGCGCCGCTAGAATGAAAGAAGCGGCGGCAAGGCACCTGGCAGGTGCATCGGGTGGTGGAGGCTCGGGTGAGCTTAAGTAATATTCGTATGTGAGTGCCAGGTCAATTACGCAAGCCTCATGTCTAATCTCAAGGTCCTCGAATATCTTTCTCGCTCTCGACATACGACGGGCCATTGGTGGATGCTTGTGACAGTGGCACCCGCAGCATAGTTTGCTGCAACACGAACGAATCTTTGCACATATCTTACCCCTATTCCGGATCCACTTGTGCCGGACTTTTTGCGCCTTCCGGAAGGAAGGAGCAACCGCTAAGTATGCGTCTATCGCCATGTGGTAGTGTCGGCACGCTGTGTTTACAAAGCTAAAGTCAACCCGGCACCTCCCTGCTGCCGTAAATGGAGCAAGCAGGCGCTCGATCAGCAAAAGGGGAGCTTCTAAGTGGTCAAGCCCCTTTAATAAAGCTATTCTTTCCTTCGCTAAACAGTCTCCAAAAGTCATAACTTCCTCTCTCATGCGGTGTGCTGTGGAGAGGAGCAGCGCCCGTCCAGAGTCACACATAATTAGCCTTGCAGCTGTTCCAAGGCCAAAGATTTCGCGACGCTGCCTGATCTGTACTATCTTTTGCCCTCTGCTTCGCTTCTTCCCGTCCTCATAAGGATAGTAATGTCCGTCTGCTCGAAAAAGTCGCAGGAGCCAATGTATTGAAAGCCTCCCCGTACGCCTGTTGTCACTGATTAATACATCATCGACTGGCAAATGGTGGGTGGGCAGTGGGGCAGCCCAAGCGTATTAACATTATGAGCAGCCGAAGACTGCGATTGGCGCTTCCTGAAGTTTCAGCATGGACGGATGAGTGATTGTGGCTTGCACGCCAGGACGAACAGCAAAATCCCTTTACAACCTGCTCGAACTGCCATATGTGCTGGCGCTGCTTACCGTAGTGCGAACGGTGTCGCCTTCGGCCACGTACGTGGAAGTGCCCTCTTCCTCCAGCACCCATTTTCCAGGAAAAGCGTTTCAGCAGAACGGCAAGAACGAGTAGGTCCTGGAATATATGTTCAGGTAGTGGGTGATGCAAAAACTTTCGGGTAAATATTCAAAAGAAGTGAAGCGGAACCACGTGGAGGCGCTTGCTAAATGGAAATCAGTTTGTCAGTGGTCACCAAATCAGCCACTGGAGAGGAAATCGAGACGCAGCTTGGAATTCACTCCATGGCAAACCCTCAACACTTAAAAGGTATTGGCGTGAAGCCTAAGTGGCTGGGATTTCAAGGCTTCCGCCTCGAATAATCCAGTGAACTTGTGGAAGTTCATGAGATGACTCTAAAGATCAACTACGCTCCCTGCCCGTTGTGAGGATACGCGCAGCTCCCCCGAAATTTGATTGTACATTTTGAAATGTTGCCTTTTCAGTAATGAATGAAGTGCCAAGACACAGGAAAGCCCTCTGAAGTTTAATTTTTTCGTGGAAATGGATGGCAGCAGTGAAATGCTAGGCTTGGGGCCCAGCGGCGGTGCGGGCCGTTGCTAGCGGCAGCTTTGCTAGATTAGCGCCTCACAAAAAGCACCTCCAAAATCCTAGAGTAGAATATGCCACAAAATTTACTTGTAGAGTGGTCAAATAGGATGTAGGCTGAGCATGAATGCCCTTCGAGCACAGTGGCTGCGGAGACTGAACGTGGTGCTCGGTGGACTCACAGTTCCAGCACAATGGGCCGTCACAGAACTCACGTAACGGAAACTGTTCAGGGGCCTCCGAGCTCACGCTCAGTCCTCGTAGTTGGAGCCCAGAGTGTTCTGGAAACAACGGCAGCACGCATCCGCAACGAGGTTGCTAGTCTCGATGGCGAGTTGCTCGAGGAGAAGCTCCTGCTCTTGCAGCAGCTTGACCACCTAGAAGCCACCTTGTCATTGCTCGAGAGGATACTACCTCCAGGGTCTGATAGAGATGTGAAGGTGCTGTCCCCTGAGGAATTATGCGAGGCCTGCCGGCACGTGAATATGGCCGTCCACACGATGCTGGCCCTCGCACCTAAGTTTCGAGAGGCGACAAGTCATCGCCTGGTCAAGCAACTTGGCTCTGGTACTACTAGCATATTTGATTGCTTCTCTCGCCGTCGCCCTCCTGTGGAACTCTCTCCAGAGAAACGCAAGAGCCGCATACGAGTGCAGCTTGACAAACTAGAGAAGCAGCATGAGGACTGTTTGTTGGATTTGCTGCTTTCTTTTGAGCACCTAGCAACAGCGGAGGTGATACCTCCGCCTGATGCACCACCCCGTTGTGCTGAAGGCAGCCGGTACGTGCTGTCGGGGCAAGCAAAACTCCACCAGTCGCATGCTATGGTTTGCCAGCTTCTCATAGAAGAAGACGACATGTTGCTTCCTATTCTTGAATGGCAGCTGGGCGCAGCTGCTTCAGACTTTGCGGTAGCTAGGGCAGTGCTTGATCGCCTTCCGAGACCACAAGTACGGCGTTTACGGACCAAAATTGAAAGTCATACACCACCACCAGCATCGGTGAACGTCCGGTGCGAGAGCACAGCAAAAATTGTCTCGTGTCCCGTTGCAAGAGAAGCAAGTGTGAGATTTGAGGAAACGCTTTTGAATTCCTCTTCGAGAGAGCCAACCAGCTCTGCGACTCATTCGCCTCCTACGGCACCAAAACGACGATGTGACCAGGGTCGAGGAGGCGGGTGCATGCCACGGGAGCCGTCTACTCCCAACTTTCCCGCTCGCAAATCTTACGAGTCTACTACTATGTACAGTGATTGCTCTCACGCCTGTGGGAACATTCGAGCGAACTCACCCAGTTGCAGTTCTCTTCCTAATCTGGGTGCGCTGGGTCCGTGCGACCTCTGCAACTCAGGCGCCCCCTTTACGCAGCTGCAAACTCCAGTCAGCGATCGGTATTCGTGCATGGCATCAGATGGCACAGAGCATTATGGTGGCCGCCTTAGCCCGTATGGTTCTAGAGTGGCGGACTACGCATCCTTTGGGTCGATGGTTGGCAGTGATTGCCGCCGTAGGTAAAAGGCTAAGTGTTTCGTTGCCTACGCTTCCACATGAGACAATACACGGTCTCTGGTCAAAAGGTTGGCGAGTCTTCTTGCCAAGGCACGGAAGCCAATGCAGTCGGTAGGGAAGCATTGCTGTGTCGTATTTTCGACTTTCCCGTCTCTTCATTCTCCGTAAGCTGCACTAAACACTAACACCTGCAGAAAAATTCCCTGTCCCCATTGTCTTGCTTTCCGCGGCTGTCTCTATTCTGCTTCTGCTGCCCACCCTTTGAGCTGGCACAGATACCAAAACGTAAATCTTCGCGATGAACTGCAAACTTTGTGGTGATGTTCGCTAGAGATCACTGCATCTTTTTATTGTCCACCGTTTTGATCGCAAATTAATCGTGGTAGCAAGCCACCCTGCTGTCTGGATGGAAGGATGCCGCTCGTGTCCTTTTGAGTGCACACTCGTTAGTGAGCCGTAATATAATGACAGGCATACGGCGTCCATCATATTTGCAGCAGCATACCACTTCAAAAGGAATGGAGAAGTTGACCCCTTAATTACTCCCACATCTCCCCCAAGCAATGCTTCGCTCAACTGCACGAACCGCATCCTAGGAAAGAAGCTGGATGCTCCAGACCCAATGAGGAGCGCAACCTTCATGTTGAAAGATGTTGGTCTGTTCGTCTACTGGCTTCCTCGGAGCCTCACCTCAGCTTGCAAGTCCTCTTCCGGATAGAGAACACTTCGCCTATTCGCTGCTCCCCCATTAGCTAAAGCCGCCTCCCCATGCAATGCAAATATTTGAAGGAACACGCAGGTGCAGTCAGCTGCGGTCATGTTCAACTGCTCTCTTTCTTTCCGGCAGTCCACCTGACCGCACATGGCCTGTTAGACATCGTACTCTCTCCTGCCGAAGCTAATCCGCCATCCAAAAGCAGTTCCCATAACTATTAGAGAAAGCGCAAACGGCCTAAATAGCGCTTACACTACTCAACAGAGCAGGGACCGCTGGTTGGTGGAGGTATTATCGCGAGTTCCCTACTCAGCATCATTGACTTCAACTGATTCCTCAGATTGGACCACTGCCGACACACGAATAGAGCAACATACTTTGCAGAGGACAAACCCCCCAGCACGCTTCCCGCAAGCAGTCTAGTACAGCATGGAATATCGTCTCGAGTGCACTGCTACATACCGGTCATCCCGGAGCAGAGTACTGACTGGAGCTTCGGCACGCACAATGCTTGGCGCCGCGCTAGCCGAGGACCCAACCGGTTGGTCGAAAGCGCTACCCAGCATTGAAACAAAAGCGCAGGGACAAACAATTAAATGTAAATCGTCAGCTCTATGTTCCAACACCCATCCACCCGCCCGTACTCCAGCGTGGGGCGTGACAACGCGTGCAACCTAGCCGGGTCCTGTCTGTTGCTTGTGCTGGGTAATGTTCGTCCCTAGAAGCAGTTCTACCTCTAAGTAGCTCAGCACTGTGCATGGGAATAGCGTTCCACGGGAACCAAGCCCTCCTTTTCCCGTTGTATCGCCGTACATGGCAAATCCAAGCAGATACGGACGATTCTGGCATGTTGGTTACCGAGTGTAAGGAAGTTGATTGGCGCAATGGTAACCATTCCTGCCACTTTGCACATCACGTGAGTGAATCACACTATCTTGTTGCGGGGGTGGAATAGTCTCTTCGTCTACCTTCGGCATGCTAGGCTGATCACAGCCAGGACCATCCCAATTTGACCGGGAGGACCAGCACACGACTGGATATGTGTAAATCCTTCTAAGCGGAAGGCGCCTCGTACCCCATAGCTCTTCTCTTATTCAGAGGATAAAGTTTTTTAAGCCAAAAGGTATGATCTCCACGCAGCGCTCTTCTGTTTCCCGTAAATCTGCAGCCCCGTCGGCAGTACCCTGACCCGTTCGGGCACCTAGCTAAGCGAACTCATCAATGGCTCGAATCTCTCGCGTGGAATAACAGATTCTTTAACAGTGTAAGGGGATGCTGTATATTATTGGGGGCATACTTAACGAATATACAAAAGTGTGGTGGAATTGTTTCCGGGGTCCCTGGGAAGACGCCTGATTCTACATCGTGGATTTGCCTCGGAGGTCTTGCTATCCGTACTGAAGAGACTGAGCGAAAGAAGCTTACCGTTCACGTTCCAAACAACTCTAAAAGGTTTGTCACCCAACATTTTCTATCAAAGGTTGCCACCTCTTCGGGACGTGCGCACGCCTTCTCAGTAGAGGTGCACACGCAACGCAATATGGTCTGCCCGGAACCGAAGGCACTTGCGATAGGCTGTCGTGTACGTTTCTTATAGTTATATGAAGTTAATCATCCCTTCTCGCTACAGGTGCCCACGTCTTCAGCTGCTACGCCAGTGGACCTTCCTTAGGTCCTTTTGGGATCTGATGGACTGCGAGACGCACCCCGTCGTCGAATGCACGGGTCACGATGTCAGGGTCGCAGAACGAAGCAGATGATGTACTGCGCGCTTGGCTTTCCAATAACCCTTCAGTGGTCGGCTATGTCGTCGTAAATTCAGATGGTTAGCCGTTAGAAGCAACAGGCACTGGAAAACTGGCACCATAGACAGGGACGCAGGTGAAGCAAGGTGTTCGCGTCAAGCCATTTGCATAATATACAGTACCGGAATGAAGGCATCCTTGATGCATAGCTCTTAGTCAGGGCCGTTGCAGGAATTAGTGCACACCCTTTGCTTAATGTCTCTTTGATAATGCTTTGATAATGGGCAAAATAGTATGTGCACTGGGGCGCGCACATACTCAAGAAGCATAGGTTAAGGATAGAACCGTTGGGCTTTTTATTTTAGGCCATAGGTGGCTGGCCAGTTATTGAAACAGCATAAATGCGTGGAGGATACATCGTTCCGGCGGGCTAATTCCACTCTCCCCTGTGGCATTCTGGCTCTGTTCTAGGCATTCCTATCCGGAACCATGAAAAGCTCTCTCGGGAGCGTTCTGTTCACTACGCCTCCTTATTGACGTAGGTCAACCACCAAAGTTGAAGATGTTGGTAGAGAGAAACATAAGTGTGCCCCAGCTATGGCTCGCAACTCGCTGAAGGTTAGTTGGCTGCATCGATCGCATTGTTGCTGCTGATCTTTTGCTTTTGCAGTGTATTCTGTGCCAAGGCGAAGCAGTGCATGAGGGAGCTGTTCCCTAGCGACGTAAGGCAATACCCACGGAGACAAGGAAATACTTATTTGCGCAACTTTGCCAAGATAACTTGCCATTTGTACACACCAGAGTCATTCATTGATATTTGCCATTTTCCGGCACAAAGCCGTTGGACCCCCCCCC